TTTTCGGAGAAAGAAGCATTTAGTATATTAGTTAGAGGAGAACATAAAGCATCTGCACATTGTTTTAGGACATATGCAGGTATGCCATCAGGGCCAAGACTATGTGAGGGCTTAAGAGTTTTAAGACATTTCAAAATATGGTTAGTTTCCTGGTATCTTCCATTTTGAATTGTAGTGTCATCTAGACGTATTGTAGAACAAAGTAAACTACTGCGATGGAACTAAGTCCTCAGACCTATAACTGGATATTATGCTAGTAAAGATAACACAACTTGCTGAGTGTAACTTTCTTTCTCATATTGGAGATCAAGTCAACAACCAACCTGTCAGCACTGGCGCAATTTCCTGAATAGGTCAGCTCGTTCATCTCTTATCCGTAAAATGGGACCCTACAATATCACCTTAAGTTTGACGGGCGAATCGCATTTTAAACATTCGGACTCTTACTCAAGGTGTTTAGAAGGCCCTACATTTTGTTGTGTATTCACTACAGAGGATGATGTCATGTGTGTAATATGCAGGCGAAAAAGGAGATGAGTTGGACACACCCTGAACAGACATTCGAATTCACACTCCAGACCGTCGAGGCGAAGTCGAGTTGGACACCTGAAGGTGACATGGAGAAAACTATATGAAGTGAAAATTGGGGCTAACAAGAATTCCTTAATGGAGTTAGAAATCATAGTGGAGAACAGAGTGAAACGGATGTGTGCTTCTGCATCCTGTTAGGATAGAGAATAACTAATGGTAATATAATAAATGCTGATTGTCACCATCTTATCGCATTCTTCATGTGAAAAGTAGACACTGGTTGACCAGCTAGACCTGATAAAACAGAGTTTTCTGTCCTAGAGTTCAACACTAACATGACCACGAGGAAAGCAAATAGATTTCATGACACCCATAGGTTGGTCCATAATGTTAACGCAATGATAGCTTAAGTGATGTCCCATACTTGGGTCTTTCCTACATGTCTCAGAAACAAAACATACATCCAAAGGTCTGGCAGAAATATACGGTTTTTCTCTAGTTTAATGTACATGATTAAGGGACAGTAGTTTTTTCATCTTACATACCCGTTTCGTGAGGAAAGTGCCATCCTGAAGGTGTCGATGTCCCTGCAAGTGATTTGCTGAGAATTATTCCTTGCAGTAAATTGAAACTAACGGTAAGCATGGCTATCTTACATACTGTGTGTGCTTGTCTTCTGAAACTGCAAACCAAATGATTAGCTGAGAATCCAAGATTTCTGAAACTTATTTATTGATTCCCGAGATATATTTTCTGATTACTTTGACATACGATGGTTTTGTAAGAGCTATTACGGCTTAGGGTAGACCTCAATTCTAAACACTTACAAAACTTCTTCACCGTTTTATGACCTTAGCTGTACTCTGCTTAACGTGCAAATACTGACGAACAGAATCAAGGTAAAAGACTTGAAATGACATGTGTATCTGGGACAGTTATATTTTACACAAACGAAATATGAAATTTGATAAAGAAAGAGGTTGTACAACTCATCTGCTGACGTCACTGGTGGGAGCCTCGGAGAGTGTGCTGAATGAATGCACAACAAGAGAGCGAACGGTTCACAAAATCAATGAATTGCAGGAGAGCATAAACCCGAAGGAATAAAGTACAGTCTGTGAAAATAAATTGAGCGGATTACTATGTACAGCATAGAAGTGACGCATTTATGCGCAAAAATATATATCGGTCAATTCAACTATACAGTGGAAGTTTCTTTTTTTATAATTATTTTTAGACTTTTTTAAATTTTTAAATTTTTTATTTCTTATTTTTTACATTTTTTCTTTACTTTTTACTTTTTTTTAAATTTTTTAAATAATTTTTTTTTCTGAAGGAATTGTGCAGCGAAAAATAATATACTGCTCGTAATTCCTCAATTGGTGTGACTTACGAGATGACATTAGAGGCCAACAGGTCTAGCAAGTAGTTTGAGGTGAAATGGATGAAAAATTAGGATAAAACTGCTGCGGATTCTCTGTAACGAGAGAGAAAGATCAAAAGGATTAGTACTGGGAAAAACGACTACTCCCATAAACGGAACCAAATAGAGTGAATATAGTAAAATCGAATTACAAATTGTGACTAGGAATAAAAACCACTAAGTAGCACTACCTATGGAGTAGTTCAGTGAAGAAATTCAGTGAACCTCTTGGGCCAGTGAACACGTCGACCAGCACGTGTGACAGGGGTCTTACTGGTGACGGTAGGAGAACCATCATTCGTCACTGGAGGTGAGGTAGTTGGGTCTGGGCGAGGACTAGGTTCGGTGGGGGTATTTGAATGAGCCGGCTGGGAAGGTGAAGGTTCTTCAATATATGCCGCTTTAAGCCTGTCTATGCTTACAGTGTCTGGGCAGCCGCATCGGTCAATAACGAAAAATTTATCTTTCCGACTGAGTACCTTAAAAGGCCCGTCATATGGTGGTTGTAAGGGCTTTCGTACGGCGTCGTGACGCACGAAAACATGCGTAAACTCATCAAGTAGTGGATCGACATGAACCTTCCGGTTTTGAGTGCGTATGGAAATGGGTCGGATGCGCTGCATCAAACTTTTAAGACTGTGGGCATAACAGGTAATATCAGGGAATTTCGGCTCGAAAGCTTGAGGAGCGATAAGCTTACCTGGTAAACGAAGAGTAGTACCGTACACCAATTCCGCTGGGGAGCACTGCAGATCCCCTTTTAGCGTAGCACCGATGCTTAGTAGGACCAATGGCAGCGAATCTCTCCACCTACTGTTGTCTACTGCCGTTAACGCGGCTTCCAGTTGACGGTGGAAACGTTCTACTAGCCCATTTGCCGCGGGGTGATACGCGGCTGTTCGAATGCGTTTGCATCCCAGCAGCTCTAACAGTTTCTTGAAGCTTGCGGATTCGAATTGTTGCCCACGGTCGGTAGTGACAGTTGCGGGACATCCAAAATGGGCAACTCAGCCTTCCATGAAGGCACGGCAGACGGTTTGAGCCATTACATCTGGTATCGGAATGGCTTCCGGCCAACATGTGAAACGATCCACACATGTGAGCAAATACGAGCAGCCGTTTGACGAGGGCAGGGGCCCTACTATATCTGTCTGTCTATCCAGGTGTATATGATGGAACCGAGCATCTGGGGTCGCAAACGTCCCCAACAGTGTGATGTTATGCTTGGTAACTTTAGCACGTTGGCATTGCACACAAGTACGTGTCCACTGACGCATATCACGGTTGATACCGGGCCAAACAAAATCTGGCCGATATCAACTTGTCCGTTGCTCGTATGCCAGGATGGAAGAGGTTGTGGAGGGACTCAAACACGGTGCGGCGTAAAGATCTGGGGACAATCGATCGAGGGGCGCCCGCTGACATATCGCAAAGTATAGTTGTTTCACTGTTTAGCAGGGGGACACGTTCTATCTTCAGTGAGGTTTTATTTGACAGGTGTTCCAAGTTCAAATCCTTCAGTTGGAGTTCAGCCATTTTATTAAAATCGATGGTTGGTGGCGCCGACGTAACGCATACGCGAGACAAACCGTCTGCTACCGGGTTATCAGCGCCACTACACTCAGTCATTTCAAAGATGATCTATAGGGAAATCATACCATGCGCAATAGATGCACCCGTCCAGGTGACCGTAGATTAAAGTACTTTGAGATCAATTAATATTTATGACACTATTCTCCAACATACTTCTATCTCTATCGACATTTAAACAATGTCACAGTTCCGGACCGTTACCCGATTCCCCACCTTCATGATTTCTCCCTGACATTACATGGAAAAACCATTTTTTCTAAAGTAGACTTGATCAGGGCCTATCACCAAATACCAGTTGCCACAGAGGATATCGAAAAAACGGCCATCATCACACCTTTCGGTTTGTTCGAATCTCTGCGCGTGCCATTTGGTCTAAAGAACGCCTCACAATCCTTCCAACGCTTCATGGATCAGGTCACACAAGGTTTGGACTTTGTATTTGTATACATCGATGACGTTTTAATTGCTAGCTCGTCGCCTGAAGAACATAGTGATCAGCTCACCATCTAATTTTAGCGATTTGACCGATATGGAGTCGTCATTAACCCCAAAAGTGCATATTCGGTGTCTCCTCTATACAGTTTCTGGGACACCGCATAACCGCCAATGGTATTAGAACTAAGGAGAAAAAGGTAGAAACTATTAAGAACTTTTCCGAACCAGATTCCGTAAAGAAACTTAGACGTTTTCTCGGGATGTTCAGTTTCTATCGACGTTTTATTCCATCGTGTGCCTCCATAGCTCAGCCACTGACCGACCTACTTAGATGCGATCCGAAGAAATTTCAGTGGTCTGAAGAAGCAAAAGCAGCATTTAATAATGCAAAAGATGCTTTATCCAACGTTGTAATGTTGTCTCACATCAACCCAGAAGCCTCACTCATCCTATGTACAGACGAATCGCAGGTAGCTGTGGGAGCAGTCTTACAACAGAAGTTCAACAATGACATCCCTCCACTTGCTTTCTTCTCCAAGAAGTTGGAACCTGCGCAAACTCGTTACAGCACTTTTAGCAGAGAACTGTTAGCTATCTATCTAGCAGTGAAACATTTCAGCTTCTTAGTACAAGGTCGACATTTTACTATCTTAACCGACCATAAGCCTCTTTGTTATGCTTTTAACACTTCGTTGGACAGACACTCCGAGAGAAGCCAGGCAACTGGATTACATATCACAATTCTCAGACATCCAGTTTATCAAAGGAGATACCAATGTCATAGTCGATTCTTTGTCTCGATGTGATGTTAATCAGCTTATATCTTCGATAGACATTAGCTTAGACAATATAGCCAAGTTGCAGGAAAATGACGCCGAACTTCATACTTGTAGACGAAAGTCCTCCCTACAGTTGCAGGATATACCTATTCCTCTGTCTGATACAACTATCGTCTTCGCTATTATCATTATTATTATCATTAGTAATATCGACATTTTTGTTTTCGTTTTTACTTCAGTTGGGAAAGATCACTACTCTTGAAGAACAGTTGTCTGCTCATCTGTCAAAGTGTACACCTTCTTCACCGTGTACACAACGATCTATAGGCTGTCAGATATCGCCAAAATCGAAACCTTCAGTTACTCTGTCATCAAGTCGAAAGCATTCAGTCACTTTATCGCCTGACATGAATGATGTCTCTTCTTCTTCTTCTTCAAGAAGTAGTGTCAGCAAATCCTTTAATGGCACAATACAATGTCTTCAAACAGCGTCCAATTCAGTGGACAAGGATACACCAAAAATTTCTAACAAAATGGAGATTAATAAATGTCAGGCTGTCAACTCGCTTTCCTCTCAAAGGTAATAATCATCTCTTCATAGTTTTGTTTTAAATTTGTTCCTTTTTTTAAAAAAGGTTTTATTTTCTGCTAGATATCCCAACAGTGTGTCTGTGTTAAGGTTGGGATAGGTGGTAGCCTTACTGTCAACCTTCTCTCTTTATTCTGGCCTTACCATTGGCTAGTTAATTAATTATAGACGAGGTTTAGGAGTGTGTTTGAGGTGGGAGTCGAATCCGTACCGTCTGTTTGTGTGGTTGGCGAACATTTCATTGAACTATCGGGTGCCTGGTTTGACTAGATTAGTCCTCTGACTACTCACTGTGTATTGTCTATTATTTGTTATGTACGGAAGTTTGAGAGTATACTTATTTTGCAAATTGGAATGTACGTCTGTGTCTAAACTTGATGCACCGCTGCTGCCTTATGTACAGGTTGAATTCTGTTTATAACCAGAAGTTTATATCTTGTAAAAATGCTTTTCATATATGGAAACTTTTCAAAGAAATTACTAGTGGTAAGCAAATGAATAGTATTCCTTATTCATTTGATGTGTATACACTAAACAAGTCTTTCACACATCCTCCCACAAATGCCAAACTTTCTAGTGTTACAAGAGTTAATGAAACCTACTTCCCTGGTTTTAATACAAATGATGTTCTAAAATGTCTCCAGTCGCTGAACCTTTCTTGTAGCTTAGCTCCACCGACGCCCCGTGCTTCTCGCAACGGCTCAATTACTGCAAACCAAATCCTGGGTTCTGCGAAACCGTACTGCGGTAAACAGAAATCAGTGATGGCATTTATTGTGGCATTTGTCGCGGTACTAGTTGTCTGCTCGGTTGAGGTACCAGACTGACGTGACGACATTATAGATATGAGAATGTTAGTGCAAAATAGGACACAAATATAAGACCACACACAAAATCACAATGAATATACAAAATGGTTAAAATAAGTATATAGGTACGTGAAAATAATCCGTGTCCTAAACGGGATCACTAATTTTGAGGTGGACCTTAGAGTCTGTTATAACAGACTAAGCTATAGCTTAGTATCCCAAATTTAAATAGGAAATTAAATTCCAAATCAGTTAAGTTACTGGTAGAATATAATAAAGTTTTGTTACCTGTGTATTTACAAGGTCCAAAATCCACAATTAACGTAATAGACTCCAGAGGTATTGCGAAGAGACTGCTCCAATAGTAATTCTCCAATGTTGATGTTACCAGGGGTAGACCAAAGCACGTAGGAAGAAACTACGGTGCTCCTGCAAAATTTGAGATAGAAAGCAGGTGGTTAGAATTGATCGATGGCAGTTGAGATGGTGGAGAAGACAGAGAGCCGAAGGCAGAACTATATTTCCATTCAAAACACGATGTAAAGCCCAATGTACAGAGATAATGATTAAAACAAAGTAATCTACAATTTGTTCATTTCTTCCATAGTAGTGAAAATTGAAAACGTTTATTTTTGAGGACTCCACATATATATAAAAACAACAACAAAACCAAAAAGAAACACAAAAATAACAAAAAAATGCAAATGAAAATACCAAGTAGAAAGGAAGATAAACACCAACAATGAAAAATATTTCAGTATTTGGTGGTCGAAGCTAGGATATATGTATGCGTGGTGAACAGCAACAGCTATAATCCTACGAAAAGTTAAGAAATGATATTAAGAATGTTTATCGCATGATCAGTTAATTTGATTGAACTACACTTAACAATCATAAAATGAACATTTCAGGCTTTTTTTATAGTCAGCACTAATGCAGTGTTTGTTGTGGTAGTGTGAGTAATCATGCATAATACAAAGTTTTAGGATGGTGATAACGGCGTTCACAAACACGATTGTCAGTTTCAATATTGCCGAACAAAAAAACAATCACAAAAACTAATATCACATGAAGGCTGTTGGCAGGATAATTTTGTAATACTCATAGTGCTAATATAGTCGGGACCAGTAGATAAACAAAGGAAGGAATAGAATACTGAATAAAAAAGTAAGCCAATCATAATAATTTTAGGTAGCTAAGTATGTTTAAGAAGGTTGCTCACCATAGAATACAAATAGGAGAGAATATGGGAGAAATAAAAGGGCCAAAATTATGTTATTAACAACAAAGCAAGTCATAGGTTTCGCGCTTAACATTGTCTCGGTCACTTAGAACACGGGCTAGCCAAATATGGTATCGTTGAGTTTCTATACTTGGTTGTACGAGCATATATTATTTTATACTGGTTTCTGGTTCTACCTGATGAGATGCAAAGAGAGAGTTGGGAATAGAGGGGGTGTTGGGGGTCGGAGAGTATGGTTTTTGACCATTTTTCGCATGTATTCAGATGCTTATCTACTAACGTAGTGACGAGCTGACTGAGTTTTACACCACTAGTCCTACTAACTACCTTCAACATCCTTCTCAGGATGGTATAGTCCTTTTTCAGTAACCCAGGGAAGACTAACAGGGAACAGTAAAGTAGAATAGGTAGGATACGAGAGTTGACAAATTGTGAAAGCAGAGGTTGAGTGACCCCAGTTAGTCTGAGTTTCTTAATGTTGTAGGTTAGACGAAACACTTTTTTAGAAATGGTTTGGATATGAGATGACCATGTAAGGTCGGAAGATAGAACCAATCCGAGGTATTTTGCATTAGACTTAGTTTCAGTTTTAGTCCCGTCAATGCTACAGGCTTCATGAGTGCTTACTAGTGTTCGTAAATCTCGTTTGTGCCTAAAGGAGAAGTCAATAGTCTGTAATTTTGAGGGATTCAACATGAGGCCATTTAGTTTAGACCACCGACTGATGTCAGACAGGAAGCTACTCGATTTGAAGCAGTCTGACTGAGACTTGATGGGAAGCGAAACAGTCAGATCATCTGCATATTTGACGAAGTTAATTTCGTCTCAGAGAGGTAAGTCATGTGAGAAGAAGAAAAAAGAAACTGCGAGAGAACAGCACCCTGAGGAACACCAGCTTCAGTAAGCAAAGGAGAGGAAGCTACACCATTATATACCGTGTACTGAATTCTATTGGAGAACTAAGAGTGCAGCCAGGACTCAGTTTGTGTAAGGCTAAGCTTGTTTAACAAAAGGCCTCTAGGTACAGAGTCGAAAGCAGATGTGTAATCAAGGAACGTACAACGGATATACTTGGCCCCCTTTTGTCTAAGGAGGACACAATGTTGTGATGAAACACATCAGGGTCTAAAGTACTTCTACCCTGATTTCAGGCAAACTGCTTTGGATTATTTGAGAAGCTTCAGGAGCCAACAAGTTTTTGTAACAATAATTTCTCCATTCGTTTCGAAAAACGAGAGGTAATAGCAAAAGGTCTAAACTTAACACCATTTCCAGAACCAGACTTCGGCACAGGTACGTTAGTACTCCCTAATACAACAAGCATACCCACAGCACAATCTCACACATCAATGACGACCTGCGCCTTCCAGTTAAAGGCATCCTCTTGACATCTTGCAACACAATCGCCACTTGCTAGAATGACTCTTGCAGAATGCAACGTGACCATAGCACCAACTCATGATACTCTACGCACATCCTCTTATCCACTCACTACCAATTATCTCTGCAATCGCTTGTCACTCATTCTGCCTCAATTCTAGTAACGGTGACGTATGCGAGCCTCAGTCGTCTACACTCTTTCTCCCTGGCGTGTCGGACCGCAGCTAACAATTATCTCCGTATGCATTTCATTCTCAGCAATAGCCTAGCCTCCCCGGCGTATACGACCCATCTGCTGTCTCTAACATCAATCAATTCATTCACGGATGTAGAAGACTCGAAACAACTTCAGAAGTAATCACGACGAAAATTTTAACAAAATGATGTAATAACAACATGGTACGAAAACAACGAGTAAACACAATGAATCCAAGAAACACCAATTGATATGACACAACACACATATATACAAACAATACAAATAACCTCGCGGATCATGTTTGGGGGAATTAATTTGAAGAGTTGCAGGATTTACACCAGTACGCCAACAACCATTCTCAGGTTGATGATTGAAAGTTGTGGAATGTCCGGACACAAACAAGATTAACCAACAATCACAATAATTGGAACTCACACAAGTATTTAACACAAACATATGTGGGTGAGTATATACGTTGTCTCGTGTTATATTTTCCGCGACTAATTTTTTTTCGTCTTTCATTGGCTAGAATGGTGGCGGTCAATTGGAGTTTGAATTGTCCTTGGGTGCGTGCTGTCGGGTGCTGTATTTGCGTGGTTGTGTTTGCGTCGTTTGCCAGCATATGTGATTACTGTAAACGTGTATGAAACTATTGTAACGCTTTGTTTTTCTTTGTTTGTGCATGTACTAGGCATTATTTGTCGTACAATTCGTTGTTTGGTCTATTGGTTGCTTGCGATGTCAACGAACCGGTGGGTTCTTGTGTTTTTCTGTAATTTAGGTTATACGTGCGGCATTTTCTTGATGGTTATCGATCATCCCTGTATTTCAATGTTGTTTTTTTACGATTTATGTTGGAATAGTTGTGACATAGATGGATCCTAATTGATAACTTTATTTTAGTCCGTTGCAGGTAGTCAATTCGAGTGACAGGAGCACAGATTTAAGTGGAATTTTTGCTGAATACATACTTGGAAAGCGTTTCTTCAGCTGGGATGAATTTGAGAAGTCATTAGCAGAATTTCAAAAAGTGAGGAAGTCATATAATGCTAACAGTGTAGTTATCCTACACTCACTATGTTCATAATTGCAGCAAAACGATACCGGATGCCAGGTTTAAGTACGCTTATGTTGGTTTTAAATGCACTTTTGGAGTGAATCGTACAAGACGTGGATTGAAATTGAAAAACAAGTCGTAAGAAGAAGTGTAATATGATTTCATGAATATTGCAGGTCTAAATGTTGCAATTGCTCGTCTTCATTTCGCGTGGTTTTGCATTGTAGTGAATACATAATTGCTTCCCACAATATGGTGCATAACCATCCATGCAGCAGGGTGTACATGCAGAATGACCCATGGTATA